GAAATCTTCTACTAATCAGAAATATAGAAAGAGAAAAGAAACATGTTAAAAGGTGCCCTTGTTACATTAAAAAACGAAAGTAATAAAATTCTGAAAATATTTACCTATTATTCCCGCCACGGATGGCGAACTCATAGAACTGCCATTCAAGAGATTGGCAGGACGGAGTTGCCACGCCGCAACAGATGCTATAGCTCCGCCAGGCGCGGAGACTGTGATTCCAAGGCTGCCATCGAGCCCAGGGCCACGGGAAGCCCAAGTATAAGGCACAGGTACAGGGGTTGATAAAAGAGAAGAGATTCCAGGACCGGATGTAGAGCCACCACCGGTTAATGATTTAGATACCCCTATTCGATCAGGAACCGAAGTGTCAAAATTTAAGGTGGAAGTGGTAGTACTCATGGAGGTAGTGAGGAGAGGTGGAATGTCAGTAGCAAAACTGGAGGAATTAGCGTCAAGTTCAGCCTGGCCGTACAGCGTATGCATCATCTCAGGGAATACGAGTGGAGCTACTCCTGATTAGCAAAAACGAATGGGAAAATACAAGACGAGCACGTATAATATTAAGGAAGAATTATGTCAATATCTTCCAAGAGAGACCTTAGGAGGATCTAACACTTGGAGTGTAGATATGAGATCCAAGATGGTGTTCGGTCGCAGCCTGTTCTAACTGTGTAATGTTGGCTCGACCTCGTTTTTGCTACTTGGTTGGGGCAAGAAGGAGATCTTGTGAAGCGTACCTAGTGTATACTTTATCATAAATATGAGAGGTATTCACCCTATTTCGTTTAAGATGATGAAGTAGTAGAATTTTCCCACAATGATATGAGTAGAGCTAACGCTTTCATTGAATTTCACGTTCCCTTGTTTTCCCAAAAGTTGTTCTCATCCAAAGTGGACTGCAGTTTCGACCTCGCATCGGTCTTATCAACACCCCCAGCGGTATTCGAACCATGACAGTGCAGAATGGGAGCTTGATACGTTAACCGCTCGACCACATTGCCACGAGGCGAGGTCGAAACTGCAGTCCACCCTGAATGAGAACAACTTTGGGGAAAACAAGGCAATATGAAATTCAATGGAAGCGTCAGCTCTACTCATATTATTGTAGCAAAATTCTACTAACAGTCCTTCATCACTTTAAACGAAATAGGGTGAATACCTCTCATATTACTGATTTACTGCTAGTCTCGAAGCTCTACTCAAATACTTTATCATTGTATCGAGAAGTTCCAATATCGGATCGTTGACTTAGTGCATTCCCAGATGGCCCATTGGTATCGTAGTCGGCATCGTAAGGTAGGACATTATTAGCACAGAGTGACAACATGTAAAGTAAAGGCAAGAGTGTTGCTTCAAGTGGATTTACTGAAGTTTCACCGGTTTCAGATGCCATTTGCAGAGCTTGTGATTTCCACTTAACCCCCCTTGCCAGTTGTTGCCTGTTACACAAAATAATTGTCCAGCTGTCTATGAGCCATATTCGAGGATTTAAAGCAAGTGGTTCCCGTGCCTAGTGGTGGGGATGAGAAGGAAGTTAACTAGGTCACGGAAAGGAAGATGCCTATAAATGAAAATAAGGGGCCTTAAATCCTCGAATATGAGCTAAATGAGCAAGGAAAATTGAAGGCTTCTAGGCAGCCAGATTTCAGATAGCAAGACAATGATTTTCATATGTAGCAGGGAACAACTGAGAAGCGGGGTAGAGCTAAATGAAAGTCAGAAGTCCAGAAGCCCTGCAAACGGCCTCTGAAACCGATGATGAAGGTGATTATGCTTCATTAAATCCACTTGTAGCGACACATTCTTAGGTGAAGGCAAAGGGAATGAGAGCACAGAAATGTGTGGATAGGTAAATGGACTATATGAAGTATTGTTGAGAGAAAGAGATGCAGCACTAGAAGCTAGGACAAAAAAAAGATGAGGAGTGATGCCACAACGGCTGAAAATAAAAGTGATGAAGGGGATTGCCTTCACTTGCCACCTTGATATGTT